GGATTATGACTTGGAAAATAGCTTTCAAAAACATTGGGTCAACTGGGGATTTCTGAATACAGATTTGATTATTAGATGAAATTTTAAAATGTAGTGATATGGAAAGGTGGAGATAATGCTAATTAAAAAGAGAGTATAGCCTTGGCTGGTATGGCTCTGTGGTTAGAGCGTAGGCCTGTGGACCAAAGGGTCTCAGGTTCGATTCCCAGTCAAGGACACGTACCTGGGTTGCAGATTCCATTATGGGCCAGTTGGGGTGTGTGCAGGAGGCAACCAACGTGGCTCTCTCACAACGATGTTTCTCTTTTTCCCTTCTTAAAAAAAAAAATCAATGAAAAAAAAATATCCTGAGGTGAGGATAAACATAAAAAGAGATGATAAAATAGCAGGTACAGGCCATGTTCCTGGCATCAAACTCTTCTAGGCTCAGGCTGGCCACACGTCTCCTGCACTCACATGGCCACCATTCAGCAGCTGCTAGGAAGACGGTGCTTAGTGGAGAGCTACGGCTTCCACGGGCACCTGAAGGAACTAGGAGTGGGAATGGCTCTGCGGAAAGTGGGTGCCATGGCCAAACCAGACCATGTCATCACTTCTGGTGGCAAAAACCTTAATAAGAACTGAGAGCACATTGAAAACGACAGTTCTCAGGTAACCTGGGAGAGAAGTTTGAAGAAACTACAGCTGATGGTGGAAAAACTCAGACCGTCTGCAGCTTTATAAATGGCACATTGTTGTCATCCCAATCCACCAAGGTTGCGGGTTCAATCGCAGTCAGGGCATATACAAGAACCAACCAAGGAATGCATAAATAAGTGGAACATATCAATGTTTCTCTCTCTTTCTCTCCAAAATCCGTCATTGGTTCAACATCAGGAATGGAATGGGAAGAAAAGTACAACAATGAGAAGATTGGAAGGCAGGAAATTAGTGGTGGAATGTGTCTTAAACAGTGTCACCTGTACTCAGACCTATGAAAAAGTAGAGTAAAAATTCCATCATCCTTCTGGACAAGAATTAGCTGTGAGGATAAACAAGCTCAGTTCAAGGAGCAAATCTCTCCAGGCTGTTTTGTTTTTCATCACTGTGTTCAGTTACCTTTATCGCAAACATTTTGCGAACAACTATTTCCGAGCGCTGGTTTAATTAGGATCAACCCTTTGGTTAGAAAATAAATGTATTTATGCTAAAAAAAAAAAGCAAGTACAATTTGCTTTCATTTTAATAAAAAGTGTATATATATATATATATATATATATATATATATATATATATATATATAAAGATCTGGAAAAATATACAATAAGATGTTATCAATGGCAATCTTTGGGTGGTACAAATATGGGCTAAATATAGTAATATCAAAAAATGTGCCCTGGCCAAGTAACTCAGTTGTTTGAAGCATATCCCATACACCAGGGTTGATTCCTGGTCAGGACACATACCTAGGCTACGGGTCTGATCCCCAGTCAGGGTGTGTGCAACCGATTGATGTTTCTATCTCACATTGATGTTTCTCTCTCTCTCTCTCCCCCTCTCTCTCTCTCCCCCTGCCCCTCTCCCTCTCCCTCTCCCTTTCTCTCTCTAAAATCAATAAAAATATATATTTTAAAAGTTTACTTACTTGTATTTTCTAACTGCTTTGTAATAACAAAAGGTTATTTTAATTTTTAAAATCTCTCAGAAAGGAAAAAAATAATCCACACTAATAAAAGAGAAAAATGGTAATTGGCGTACGACCGCTACCCTTCCGATTGGCTAATCAGCGTATCCTTATGCAAATTAACTGTCAGCCAAGATGGCGGCCGGCAGCCAGGCAGCTGGAAGCGAACGTGAGGCTTGCTTGCTCCCGCCTGACTTGCCGGGCTCTGAGCTGGCAGTTTGAAACATTCTAACAAATATAGCCGGCTGGGATCTCAGAGCTGAAGTTATACGTTGTTTCGATTATAGAACGGCAAACAAACCAGCAGCGGAAGCCTCAGAGCTAGAGCCAGAGCTAAAGCTGGCCCAGAAGAAAAAAAAAAAAAGAAAAAAAGGAGCGGTTGGGAGCTTCAATCAACAACCGCCAGCCTGAAAGCAGCCCTCAGCCCCTCACCCAGACTGGCCAGGCACCCCAGTGGGGACCCCCACCCTGAAGGGTGTGTGACCAGCTGCAAACAGCCATCATCCCCTCATCCAGGCTGGCCAGGCACCCCAGTGGGGACCCCCACCCTGATCCAGGACACCCTTCAGGGCAAACCAGCAGCCCCCAGGCCTCTATCCTATATAGTAAAAGGGTAATATGCCTCCCAGCACCGGGATCAGCAGAGCCTCGAGGTCTCCTGGCACCAGATCAGCATGACAGGGTGCAGCGCCCAAACCCCCTGATCGGCCCTGCTCTGTGTATGACAGGGGGTGGTGCCCCAACCCCCCCCCCCCCACGGGCCCTGCTCTGTGTGTGATGGGGTAGAGCCATAACCTCCCCATCGGCCCTGCCCTGAGTGTGACAGTGGTGGCGCCCCAACCCCCTGATCTGCCCTGCTGTGTGTGTGACAGGGGGCGGTGCCCTAACTCCCCTATCGGCCCTACTCTGTGCGTGACAGGAGGGAGCTCCCCAACCCCCTGATGGGCCCTGCTCTGTGCATGACGGGGGGGGGGGCAGTGCCCCAACCCCCTGATTGGCCCTGCTCTGTGAGTGACAGGGGGCAGCGCCCCAACCCCCTGATTGGCCCTGCTCTGTGCATCACAGGGGGTGGCACCGAAACCTCCCCATTGACCCTGCCTTGAGTGTGATAGGGGGTGGTGCCCCAACCCCCCAATCAGCCCTACCCTGAGCGTGACTGAGGGTGGCATCGCAACCTCCCAATCTGCCCTGCTCTGTGCATGACAGGGCGGCGCCCCAACTCCCCAATCAGCCCTGCTCTGAGCCCGACCAGGGGCTGCACCTAGGGATTGGGCCTGCCCTCTGTCACCCAGGAGCAGGCCTAAGCCAGCAGGTCGTTATCTCCCGAGGGGTCCCAGACTGCGAGAGGGCACAGGCCGGGCTGAGGGACCCCCCCTTCCCTCCCGAGTGCACAAATTTTTGTGCACCGGGCCTCTAGTAAAATAAAATAAAGGGAAAAAAATCTCTCAGAGAAACCTGTCATTTAAAGGAATGTTTTGGCCCTAGCTGGTTTGGCTCAGTGGATAGAGCGTCGGCCTCCAGACTGGAGGGTCCCAGGTTTGATTCTGGTTCAGGGCACATGCCCGGGTTGCAGGCTCGATCCCTGGCCAGTAGGGGGTGTGCAGGAGGCAGCCAATCAATGATTCTCTCCCATCATTGATGTTTCCATCTCTCTCTCTCCCTCTCCCTTCCTCTCTGAAATCAATAAAAATATATTAAAAGAATAAAGGAATGTTTTTCAAGGGGGTAATTATCTCTCATTTTAACTATTTATTAAAATGGATTTTTATAGGATGGGGTACATGCTGGACTGGAGCAGTGCCTTAAAGTTTGTTATATCAGCACCTAACCTATAATCACATATTTTCTTATGCAAAATATGTAACAATTCATGCCACGAGAGTAGAGTAAATGTTTCTTTAGCTTTGTTTCAACACCAGGCAACTCCTGGATGTCGAGAGCTCTGAGAGTACTCACCATTCCCGTAAGCCCAGTCATCATTCATACGGTGGCGCACTTTCTGGTAAATGGCCGACATGGTTTTCATGTTGCTTTTCCTCCACTGGCGCCCCAGGTACTTGGTCTGTATTTTTAGCAGCTTCAGGACATAAAGTTGCAGCATGGCCTGTTTGACCTTGAGAGCCCGCTTTAAGATTGGAGCAGATTTAAACACCACCAGCATCTGCTCATTTAAAGAGGGATGAGAGTGAAGAAAGACAAATAAAAATATAAAGTTACTTGGAGTTCCCAACTCATAGACAAATTAAGCTAAACCTGGCTGATCTGAGATTACGCGGGGGAGCTTTTGGAAATCTATGGTCCAGGCTCCACTTAGATTTAGTCTTCAAGGAGGTCACTCCATTTATATTTCACAATTAAAAGTTTCTGATGTCAGTATAGAACTGCCTCATTCTTTTTCATTGTTGTATAAGATTGTATTATAAGGATACACCATAAGTTATTTAACCAGTTGGTCCCGTATTAATGAGCATTTAGGTTGTTTCCAATCTTTCATAATTACAAACAATGCTGCAATGAATAGCCATCGAGCTGCATTGTTTGGGATTTGTGAATATAGCTCAAATAACAATGCTAACTTCCCTAACAGAGAGGCCCTGAGGGAAGATCCACATCCAGCTCTCTAAAAAGCAATGTAAATATTTCTCTCATATAGAATAAATGCCCAGAATTAGAAGGGGCTAAATTTTTTCAAAATATATTTTTATTGAGTTCAGAGAAGGGAGAGGGAGGGAGAGATGGAAACATCAGTGATGAGAGAGAATCATTGATCGGCTGCCTCCTGCACGTCCCCTGGGGATAGAGCCTACAAACCCAGGCATGTGCCCTGACCAGGAATCGAACCTCCTGGTTCATAGGTCGACACTCAACCACTGAGCCACACTGGATGGGCAAGAGGGGCTAAATCTTACATAGCATTCAGTGTGTGTCTATAGAGCTTACAAAGCAGGAAGTCCATACAAATTAACTGAAGATTTAAAAACTCAGTGAGATGGACACCTCCATGATCAGAAGTCCCACTCACCATGGTTCTGGAATGCTTCCATTTGGTCAGTTTATTGAGCAGCCTCAGAAGGTTGATGCAGGAAAAGAGGTTCCTCCAGCAGAACTGGTTGTTGTCTCCAGCTTCCTGTAATAAGGCATGCCCGTCATAATCTCCACACCCATAAGACTTTTATTTCCATAGATGCCTGAAGTCGCTGTTGGTCAATTTAGATGAGGCCTTCCATATAAAATGCTACCTCCTCACTATCCTGCTTTTCACACACTGAGGCCAAAACATGTAATATCTTTTATCTGGTTAGGAACATGACACACGAACGTAGGAACTTCATTCAAGCAAGCTTTCTTGTGTAGCTTTCTAATTTAGGATCAGAGAAGAGATGCTTTCTACCCCATACACTTTGCACTTACATAAGCTATGTTTGTAACTGCCAGGAGTTATTCTGGTAGATTTCAAACTATGGTGGATGGGTCTGGTATTCATTGTGGCTGGATTTTTTAAATCAACCCCACCCTCCTTTATCAAACCATATTGCAGCAAATTGCTTAATTCTCCAGCACGGAAGAAAAAATGGCAGATGGTTAATTCTAACCAGGTGTTTCTCTTGTATGTTTCTTGATAACAAGAAGTAACAGATGGATGTCAGATTAGAAACAGGTATATACTCCTAGAAACATCATTCAGGGACAAAAATAGAGTCCTTACAGATTTGGAGGCCTATAAATATATACTGCTGGCAGAAGCTATATAAATCAATGAGTACGCATGGTGGCCAAACTAACATCTTGGAAATTCCTCACGTCTACAAAGTGATAACATAACGTAGGAGTAGGAGATGTATAGACATGAACTGCTGTCTGGTGAATGGGAAATTAGCCCTCCTCTCCCAAATAGATTTGAAGCAAGCAAATGTAATGTGGACTGAACATCCAAGATTTTTGAGTGTATTAGGTTAATATACATAAGACTACGGATCAAAAAGTTTCAGGGAAGGGTCAATGGGGGGGGGGGAGAATATGTAATACTTTCAACAATAAAGATTTAATAATAAAAAAAAGTTTTAGGGAACCCTGGCCAGTGTGGCTCAATGGTTGAGCATTGTTCTATGCACCCAAAGGTCCCTGGTTCCATTCCTGGTCAGGGATCAAGTCTGGGCTGTGAGTTTGATCCCCAGTAGGGAACATGCAGGAGGCAATTGATCAATGTTTCTTTTTTCTCTCCCTTTCCCTTCCTCTCTCTCTAAAATCAAATTTAAAAAAAAACATTACTTAGCCCTAGCTGGTTTAGCTCAGTGGATAGAGCTTCAGCCTGCGGACTGAAGTGTCCTGGGTTCGATTCTGGTCAAGGGCACATACCTCGGTTGAGGGCTTAATCAGAGAAAAACTTTAAATGTTATTTAAAGACTATCCTATACACTTAAAAAAACAGTACATTTTCTGTTTATAATTAATTGAGCCTGAAAAAGAGATAAATCTTACTCATATAAATATTAGTCTTTTCTGAGTACAGAAGCCATCAGTTTAGACAAATAAACCATTATATTGAGCACCTATGTGGAGTAAACTTGCTAGTTACTTAAGGCTGTTTACGTAAATTCACACAAACAATACAAAACAAACTGTGGTTACCAAATGAGACCACCAGGTGCCACTGTTGCTTCAGAGAAAGGAGATGAAATACCGACCATGAATTCGTATTTTATTAAGACTAGACAATGCTTTCACCCACTCTTGCATAAAAATAAAGTCTTCTCAGAAGCATTACAATTAGCTAAGAAATTTTATGCTTATATCCTAAAAGGTCATTCTGAAGAGATACAGAGAACACACTGTACCAAGAAACAGAGTCAGGCCCTGGCAGGTGTGGCTCAGTTGTTTGGAACATTGTACCATACACCAGAAGGTGGCGGGTTTGATTCCGGTCAGGGCACATACCTGGGTTACGGGTTTAATCCCTGGTGGGGGCATGTATTGGACACAACCGATCAGTGTTTCTCTCTCATATCCATTAAAAAAAAAAAAGAAACAGATTTAGGTCATAAAAGCTAACTATTTTCAAATACCCTACTAATAGAATTTTAACACTATCCATGTGCCACTTGTTTCTCATTCCAACTTTGAATGGCAGGGATGTAGGTCTCCACCCTTGCTCTGCTACATTCAACTGTAAAATTTTGGCAGTTACTTACTTCTCTATCCATAAAACAGTAATACCAACCTCATAGTTGTTTTAAAGATTGACTAATATGATGAACATAAACAGGGCTAGACACTTATGACCTCTCTCTGCAAGGGTAAGGAGCTCCTCTTGGCTGCTGAGACCACATCTAAGTAAGACAGCAGTTCTGCCCTGGTGCTAAAAAGGGTGCTAGACTTAGTGTCTCAGGACATGGGTCTTTCTCTAATTCAGGGTCTGTCATGAATAAAGCATGAACCATGAAAAGTCATTTTGTTCAATGGACATTTCTCATCTTTGAAATAGAGGTTTAGGCCAAATAGCTCTCATGTCCCCTCCAGCCAAAAATCCTATGGTTCTATAAAACCTGTACCACAGAAGGTATCATTCTGTTTTTACATAATAGACTTTAAAAAATATATATTTTTATTGATTTCAGAGAGAAAGGGAGAGAGAAACATCAATGATGAGAGAGAATCACTGATCGGCTGCCCCCTACCCCGCCCCCCCCCCCCCGACACACACACACTGGGGATCAAGCCTGCAATCCAGGCATGTGCCCTTGAATCAAACCTGGGACCCTTCACTCCGCAGGCCAATGCTCTATCCACTGAGCCAAACCAGCAAAGACCATAATAGAATTTTTGATGCAACATTTTTCAAGTATTAAAGTTGGGGTTGTGGCACACATGGGTGCTGTCATCTGGCCACTCAGCACTTATTGAGCTCCTTCTATATACCAAACATGGTGCTAGACTCTGGTGATATAAAAATGATGATGCACTAAAACAATTTTCTTGAGTAGTGTGATTACAGAGCTAGTAATTAGACTCCTTACTAAATGAATAACGTCGTGAGATTACATTTAGACAAGTACCACATACCCCATTCCATTTTGATCACCCCTTAAGTGCAATCCTGTTTGTTTGCATGAAAGAGCTTTTAAAATGGTAGATAAATACATAAATAAAAATGATGATAATACTATCTCTTACTTGAAGGACTTTTCAGTCAAATAGAGAAACCGATATAAATTACAATGCAACGGGGTGAGGGTAGGGACTGAGGAATACCTAATGAGCTGTGGCAATACATGATGAGACTGACACTTGGTCTTCACTGTGCTATTCATCAGTCAGTTTCATGCATTAATAACTCTGAGGGCCTTGGCCAGATTGGCTCAGTTGGTTGGGTATCGTCCCATGCACCAAAAGATCCCTGGTTCGATTCCCAGTCAGGGCACATGTCCAGGTTGTGGCCTCCATCCCTACTGGGGGGCATGAAAGAGGCAGCCTATCGATGTTACCCTCTCACATCAATGTTCCTCTCTCTCTCCTTCTCCCTTACTTTCTCTCTAAAAATCAATTAAAATATATATTTTTTATTTTTTTTTTTAAATATATTTTATTGATTTTTTACAGAGGAAGGGAGAGGGATAGAGAGTTAGAAACATTGATGAGAGAGATACATCGATCAGCTGTCTCCTGCACAACTCCTACTGGGGATGTGCCCACAACCAAGGTACATGCCCTTGACCGGAATCGAACCTGGGACCCTTCAGTCCGCAGGCCAACGCTCTATCCACCGAGCCAAACTGGTTAGGGCAATATATATATATTTTTAAAAAGAATAACTCTGAGGGACTTTTCTGACTTGCCTAGAGCTGTTTCCAGGATGAAGAATTTTCTGGGTCATCCTTCTGTGGCTATATTGACTTTTGCCTCAGAGAGACGTAGGCATTTTGGTATTTTCCGAAGTACCACTCCTGGGTTTTATAACCCGAATGGAAATGAAAAGTGCATAGCCTCTGGCACAGCAGAAAGGCAGATAATTATTTGGGATGACCAGACGAGATTCTCCTGCCATTCTGTGCAGATGTTCACATTCAATTTCAGTCTAATTATCTTCCTAAATGTCCTCTCCTCCTTAGTGTTTTTCACTGACCCTTTTCTTAACAAAATGCTATGCACAGCTTTTCCAAACTGTTCTCAACTGGGTCAGCAGCTCTAAACCCCTACTGGCTCTGTGCTATTGCCAATAGGCCTTTGTTAATCTGAGACTCCCAAACCAGGGCACAATGGAGGCAGAGAAGCAATGGAAGAGCAAGTGCCAGCCTCTGCTACTTGGCATTTTCAAAGGCTACCGAATCCGCATCTGCTTACCAGACTCTCCGTAGTAAGTTCTGGCAAATCCTGGATGGTACAGCAAGGGTAATCCAGGACCGAGATGCTGCAAGATGCAGAGATAAGGACAGGCTTTGGGTAAATGGCAACGGCAGGAAACAGCTGTATGTTAAAGGGCAGGGGTTAGTTCTCTCCAGCAGGCCCTATCTATTTCCCAAATTGCTTAGAGACCTTGGCTGAAACCGAGGGCTTTGGTGCCAGGCAACTCCAGCTCTGGTCTCCTCTCTTCACGGAGAGGAACTAGCTGAGAGGAACTAACAGAGTTCTTTCAGGCTGGCCCCCATCTGGCAGAGGCAAAAGAGAGCAGAAAGAGAGCCCTGTATAGCCACCTTTCTCCTTCCTTCTTTAAAGGAATATGTAAACTTGTCTGCAGTTGAGTTTCTGTATTTAAGTATATGCTTGTGTATATGTGTGAATGTAACTGTGCTCCCAGAGATGCTGCTAAAACTTATTGCACTTAACAAACTGTGGATGTGAGGATGCAATGCAGACTTCTGTGTCTCTGAAAGCCAGGAGCTCTCGGGAATAATCACATAAGCTACCCCTACAGGAAGCTTGAGACAGAGGCAGCAGCCTACAGCAGGGCCAGTCTAGTAGCTCAAGAATGGTAATAGCATCTGCCTCCAAGGGAGCTGGAGGCTCTGTGGGGAGCCCAGGGAAGCAGGAGAAATAAGGCACCACATGATGACAGGAACACAGTCACTTAAAATGACCTTTCTTTCCTCTTCTCCCTTCTTCATGGGTACAATGCAGAATTGAGATTAGGTAATCTCTAATGCTTCTCCTGGTTGGGACATTCCATGAGGTTTTAAACACCAATCTTGCCCTGGCCTGTGTTGCTCAGTGGTTGCTCAAAAGTGTTGCCCTGGGGACCAAAGGGTCACGGTCAAGGGCACGTACCTGGGTTGCAGGTTCGATCCCCAGCCCCAGTTAGGGCGCATGAGAGATGGAAACCAATTGATGTGTCTCTCTCACATCAATGTCTCTTTCTCTGTCTCCCTCCTTTTCTCCCTTCCACTCTCTCTAAAAATCAATAGAAAAAATATCTTCAGGTAAGGATTAACAAAAACAAAACAAAACAAAACAAAATTTAAAAACCAACAATCTATCTGAACTAATGCAGTTGGAAATAAGAAGACTATGGGGTTCCTTGGACCTGTCTCTCTATTTCGAAAGTCAAACTCTATCCAAACAAAAGGCAACAATTTATTCCACTAGAAATGTTTACCTTTGTCCAAGAAACACACAAAGATAACCAAGGGAACAAAGGGAGGAGAGGAGAGGCCAATGGCTCTCTCTACAATGTTGCTCATCATCTTAATTCACTCTACTAGATCCTCCCAGGGTTGCCAGTTCTTTGCTGCTCCTTTAGGAAAAACATTCTGGGCTGGCTTATCCACTCAGCTACCCACCTCCCACTGACAAAGCCCCATGGCAAAGTAGGTGCCGGGGACCAGGAAATGGGGGCGGGAAATCAAAAATGGATTTATTCTAATCTCAGTGAACTGAATTCTAGCCTAAGGGAGAATAAAAGACAGTTACAAGTTTCTACAACATCTAGGTTGTAAGAGCCATAAGGAAACTGTGCAATAATGAACTGTGGGTGCTCCAAGTTTCTCAGGGATTATGCACCAGTGAAATATACTGTGGGTGGTAAACAGGAGGACCATCTTATCCAGGCCAACCTTAGCAAATGGCACAGTCTGGCTCTTTCAACTCCAAATGATCTCGATGGACACAGATTGGATTGTTTGCCCCTCCTCCTCTAGGCCCAGGAGTGCATTTAGCTCCTGAACCCAACTTCCCAGCCACAGTTGACTGAGCCAGGGACAGACCTCTAACCCTGGGAATGTGGAACAAGGATTGAGAGCCAATTCAGTCTGAGTGGCATGGGGCAGGACATGTTGAGCTCATGCGGGCATATTTCAGAGAGTGGCCTGGGAAACAGACACTACTATTTGCAAGTGAGAGAAGACACGGGAGTGGAGTACAGAGGCTTGGTGTCCATAGACAGAGGTGGAGGACTGCCTGGGCTCCCTACAGACCAACCCTGAGGCTCAGAGCTGCATCCCTGTCCTAGGAGCCTCAAGATGATATACCTCACATTTCCTCCTAACAAATTACCTACTATGCATGAACCAGGTCTAGCTGGTTTTAGTTACTTAGAACTAAAAAGGTTGACTGATACACAGAGGTGCCTTCATGAAGCTGTGGCCCTTACCTCACCCAACCTACACTTCCATTTTCCCTGGTAATTCAACTAGCAAGTCTTAGTGTTAGTTTTATTTTTATTTTTTGTTAATCCTCATCAAAGGAAATTGTTCCATTGACTTTTATAGAGAGTGGAAGGGAGGGGGAGAGACAGAGAGAAACATCGATGTGAGAGAGACACATTGATTAGTTGCCTCCTGCACACGCCCCAACCAGGGCTGAGGATTGAGCCTGCAACTGAGGTACATGCCCTTGACTGGAATCGAACCTGGGACCTTTTAATCTACAGGCCAATGCTCTATCCACTGAGCCAAATCAGCTAGGGCTTAGTGTTATTTTTAAGGCGGCCAGTGCATAAATCTCCTGTAGTTAGAAAAAAAACAAAACCAAAAAACCCCTGAATTCTCAAATGCTTCCTTCAAACAGGAAAAGTATTTAAATCACTCTCATATATATTTATCTTAACTAATGCTTATAAAAGCTCTATGATTCAGTCAGAAGAGGCATTATTTTCATTTTAAAGATGGAAATACTGTGGCTCAGAGAAACAAAGTGTCTTACTTGAGATTACATAGCTAGCAAATGGCTGATCCAGGCCAGCAATCGAGGTCTCATGACTTCCGGTTCCGTGTGTGTGTGTGTGTGTGTGTGTGTGTGTGTGAGAAACTACATATAAGTAAGCTGCCTCTCCCTGGAGGAATCTCAGGCTGTGCTGACATACTGGTGAAGCAACATCTCCTAGCCCCTCTCCACTCACTCCGAGTAATCCGCCTTCTACTTTAGAAACTTTGCCTCTATTAAAGCACTTCTGGTAGACTCTCCTGATTCACAGGCTTCCAGTTCTCATGGAAACAGCCAAGTAAGGAACAAGGTTCTGTTCTGTAACCTTCCCTTTCTGCCATGTCCCCACTTGGCTGGAGGAGTGGAAAGCAATTTGTATTCACAATTGTGATCAGAAAGCAATTTGTGTTTTGATCCTATCTTTGCTGCTTACTTAACAAGTCTCACTAGCATGTTAATCTTGAGCAACTCAATTAACCTGTTGTTTCCTAATTGGTAAAATGAGAAATAAAACTTGTTGTAATACCACTTAGGACTGCTTTGGAGATTAAATAAAATAATGGATAGAGAAATAGTGTAATTTTAAAAACTACAAATTGATCTATCTATTATTTTTCAGTTATAAATTCACTATAACACTTTACAGTTTACAAAGTAGTGTAACTAACCCAACTTATGATTTATACTAAGATCGGGGCTGAAATTTTATCGTTGTAGTTTTATTACTTTGAGTCATGACATTTTTCAGTTTTTAAAATTTTAAAAATACAAATATCTTTGTGACGAGGCCAAATCATATACCCCAAAAGCTAACACTTCAAGGAAATAAAATAGTAATCGCTCTAAAATAGAACTTGGGACAGCAAAACTGACAGGTTCAGAAATAATGTAATTTTTCTCAATCATCCCAAACTAGCCCTTTTGAAATAAAAGTGTCCAGAGTCCATACCTGTTTTTAGCAGTGATGTAGGACAAAATATTTTGATTGAAGAATTTCAGGATCAATGGAATGCAGTTGGCAAATACCAAATGTTGTGATACATATTCAAACTGAATTAAAACATCAAAGTGGAAAGGGCTGCTTATTTGGGGGAAAATAGAAGGTCTGTATGAAAAACAGGCAAATATAAATCTAACATCCATCCCTAAAGATATCCACTGGCCGCCTGTGTTATCAGTCTTTCTGCCTGGGAAGGGGGAGAATCGTCTCCAGCTCGCCCATCCTACCTGGAGGGGGACAATCGGTAGTGTTATATAGGTCGCAAACTCCTGACCAAAAGCACAAAACATAAACCGGAGAGAAAGCCCTATTACCGATCAACAGAACTGCTGTGAGATTTGCTCTTAAGCTCAACAGGAAAGGAAGGCAACCCCGAGGGAGTTGTCTTCCACACCAAAGCTCTGGCTCCTAGTGTTTCAACTGTGATTGACACAGCAAGGACAGGTGCAACTCACCCCCAGCAGCTGCTGGCATCACTCAGCCAGCATGGAGACAACACATAACCAAATGGGCCACTGGAATGTGGGCTCCATGCCAGTCTGTGTGGTTCCCTGTACTTAGAATGTCATATTTTAATGAACGAACCAAGAGCCCTTCAGTCAACAGATACTGCACTGAGAATAAGTCGAGGACCTCTTATGAGCATAACACCACAGCACAGGGGCTCCACTTTGCTCTCCTGAATCTGGATGGGGTCTGTGTCCAGGAAGACCTAGTGGAGGCAGTGTCGTGAAGTTATGCCATCTGGATTTTGCCTAAGATACACTGAAGAGCACCAGACACAATTTTCTCCAGATCCAGAACCTAGACTGCTAGGACAGTGCAGAAACTGGGTTGAAAAGGCAGAAAATTGTGCTGTTTTAAATCCCCTCCTTCTTCCTGATTACCAAAAAGTAGCCTTGGTAGCAAGCTAAGCTGCCCTCTGCCCCTAAATGTGTGGTTACAGGGGAGGCGTCAGCTGGTGCTGCCCATTTCTCTCTTTTGCTCAAATCTTTCCCCCTGGCAGCTGACCCAGGGTTTTTTCCCCAACGCCCCAGATGGAGGAGACGATACATACTCTCTATCAAGTGATGGAAAACTTTTTTCAGTTTTAGATGTGTCTGTAGCCTTGTCAGGATTCACTGCCACTGACACACACTGGCAAGACCCATCAAGCCACCCTCCTGTCTGGCTGTTGATCCACCTACTGCCACCAAGAGAAGCAAACAGAAGCAGACATCCTCAGTTCTCTGTCCTTTCTACTAGGACCACTATCTCCCACCAGGCCCAACTCCTCCCAGCCCTGCTGCTGCTCAGCAAACATGAGCAGACGTGTGAGCACCCAGGACACGCTAACAAACCTACAGATGTCCCGGAATGTACTAAAATAGTCAAGCCTGCCATGGACACAGACCCTGCAGGGCCTCCCCTGCACTCTAAGGACCTGCTCTTCCACCAGCAAGCTTGGTTTTGACTTCACAGGAGGAAAACAGAGCAGAGCCTCTGTGCAGGAATGAGATGCCTCCTCTCCCCCATGGTCTCACCACAGCGACCATCCATTACTGCTTCCATCTTCCCCTATACCTTGCTTATGGCAATGTATGCTTACAGAAGAACCAAGTCTAAACTCCTCAGCACGGCAAACAATGCGTTTATGAGGAAACAGGTTAACCTTTCCTAGATTTGGTTTCCTCCTCTATAAAACAGGCATAAAGTAAGACCTACCTCATAGGGCTGAGAGAATTAATTGAGATCCCACACAAGCTTAACAGAGTGCCCGGCCCATTATAGGTACTTAATAATTGTGCGCTATCACATGTGTTATGTCCTCCCTGTTGTCCCCTCCAGCCTTACGGACTTTCACAAATTAGCTTTTCTGCTTGAAGTGCTTCCTGTCCTCTTTCCCTGACAACTCCCACATTGTAGCTAATCTCTCTTTAGGACTCGGGTTGAAGTCACTTCACCTCAGGCTGGATTAGGTATTTCCCTATCAGGCAATGCTTAACTGTGCTTATCACTCTACGATTGGATCTTTATGTATCTGTATCCTTTACAAGACCTCTAAGCCCTTAAGAGCCAGAAACATGCCTTATTCAGAATTAGATCTCAAATGTTAGAAAGGTGCTTCGCATATAGAAAACCATTCTCAACATGCCACTCCGCCCTCCATTTTTGTAGAATGCTTGAATCCTATCACCCATTGTTTTAAAGCTGGCTGGGCAGAGATTCCTACCCACAACCCTCAGATCATGCTCAAAGGACATAGACATCAGCACCTTTCTAGAACAGTTCCCCACATCCCACACCATATCTCCACCCCAAGCTTGTACAACAGGCATTTTGATTCCCTGAGTGAGACAAAGAAAAGGCTGAAAGATACTCAGCTGGATTACAAGGGCCCTGGTGTCCCTTCTTTAGGAGACAGGGCCTAGTGAACACGAAGACCCGTGGAGAAGCGCTCCTAGCTGCTCACCTGGTAGATGTGGTTCAGTTTGAAGTGCTTGAGGAGCAGCAGGAGCAGGGCAGAAATACTCTTTACAATGATCTCCTTGTGCCTGTTCACATCGATGCCCAGCTTCATGCTCTGGAGAACAGTGACGCTACAATAGGGACAGGAGGGGTCAATGTCGAGGGTGGCTGGAGAGAGCTTCTACACAGTACATACTTGGATCGGATACGATGTACACAGGAGAGCCAGAGCTTAGGAAACCTGAGTTTCTGTGCTAGGGAAACCTCCCGAGTTCCTGCTGATAAGCCTGTCTGGAGAAAAGCTCCTCTGGACTCTGTTTCTCTCTCTCCTTTGGCAAGCTCATCCCTTGGCAATGTCCACCCACATACCTGTGCAGCCAGTCGCTGGCACGCATACTGCCCTCCAGACCCTCAATTCTGAGCTAAAAGGAGCACAGCAGAGAGCACTGCGGTGGAAAGGGGCTACTGCTGGGGGAAGGGAGATCTCTTTGGAGATAATCCCTGTGTTAACCAGGTGGGGTGGGGACTAGAGAGACCTCGCGGACAAGACAGCTAGTATTCAGCCGCCGCCACAGTTGAAGCACTCACGGCATCTCCTCAGGCAGGACATCTGCCAGAATATTGATAGAGTCTGTCTTAGCCTTGGAGGTGGGAGCTGCAGCCAGCAGAATCTTAAGCAGAGCAATCTGGAAAGTAGAAAATGAGGAATCCATCCCATGCAACAAGGCTATTTCTCAATGCCTCAACAGTCCTATGGGAAGTGTTTTAAAGTCTTCCTCTAAGTCCTTCCCTCAATGACCAGATCTCCCCAGCCTCCAGAGGGGCAACCAGGTGTCCAGTCCTGAGAGGCCTGCCTGTGAGAGTCAGGAGCCAGAAGGGAGCTGACAGGCTGCTGTGCTTCAAGACTGCTCTTTCCAGAGAGGAAGATGGGAAAGGCAAAGTGAGAGGGACAAGGCCTAGAAATAAAGTGGGAGGCATAAGCAAGATTTCACGTCCTCTACCCTTTCCTTCCTCTAACCCTGACCATCAGCATCCTCACCATTCTTAGCCTGAGGCTATCTAGAACATGACAGACCACAGCAGACCTCAGAGGGACGAGGGCCCCCAATACACCCCTGCACAGATCCCATCTTGATCTCTATCCCTCCAAAAGGACTAGGGAGTACCGCCAAGTCCCCCTTCCTCTTGCAGGAGCCCCGAGGAAAGCTCAGAATTCTAATGTGTTAGAGAAAGCCTCGACTGAGGAGTGAAAGCTCAGGAAACAAGCGGAAATGATGGACATCTCAGCTGGAAATGACTCTCAGCTGTCTGTTCCTTGAAGCAGCGAAGGGCAACTTCTTACCATGTCCTTACCCCACCACCTCTTACCATGTACTGGGGGAGGCTATACAGCATGCCCTGGTAGAGGATTTCACATGGCGTCTCTGGCACTACCTCTTCCCCCTACAGCAGGAAACACACAGTTACCCAGGCCATTTTCCAGTTGACCAAAGGCTATGTGAAGCGTGGCATGCAAAGAGCACTGAGCTGGGAGTCCTAGGTTCTACCCTCGCTGTGTTAATGTTTCCTTATATGACCTTGGGTAAGTTACTTTCCCTATCTAGGTCCTAATTTCCTCTTCTGTAGATCAGTGGGCTGGTCTGGATGACCGTTCTGGGCTCTTCCAGCCCTAACAAGCTATGATTCTGGTTTTCACATTATCTGGAGTCGATCCAAATTCTTTTTTCCATGTCCCAGCTGGATCAGGAGTCAAAACTCCCAACTAGGAGATGGCTCAGACCACTGCTTTGCTGAACACATGGGGACTTAATTCAGGCTGCAGGTATGCCCGGGACACTGGGAACAGACAGCCCACACAGAGCCACTTCCCAGGGTGTCAATCTGAGGCCACCTGAGAGCACTAAAATGCTCTGAAGCCAGAAAGGAAAGGCAGGTGACTCAATAGAGAGGGTTAATAAGACAGATGGGTAACCTGTGGCCTGGAGAAGCAGGAAGGACTATTGGCTGATAAGCTTTTAGGTGTAAACTATTTTTACTTCTCTATTAGCCCCTACAACATCCCTTTCTCCTTCCTGACCAGGCCCCTCATGCATAACTCTTTGTCTTTTTTTAAAAAAATATATTTTATTGATTTTTTACAGAGAGGAAGGGAGAGAGATAGAGAGTTTGAAACATCGATCAGCTGCCTCCTGCACATCTCCTACTGGGGATGTGCCCGCAACCCAGGTACATGCCCTTGACCGGAATCGAACCTGGGACCTTTCAGTCCGCAGGTCGACGCTCTATCCACTGAGCCAAACCGGTTTCGGCTCTTTGTCCTTTTGATGACCCCACCTAAGCCCTTTGTCGGAGTATGGAGACAGACCTCCAGTGCTCGAGAGGGTACTCAAGGCCACTGTCACCTTTGGGCAATGCAGTCCTTCCTCACCCAAGGTCTGTCTATTACAGGGCAAGGGTCAGTGCCATGAGAACCTAAGGTAGGTAACTTAGCCCCT